ACAACATTTATCTGGATGGGCGGGAACGAAGTATACGGGCGACCAGGAACACGACCCAGGGGACTCAACAAGAGGGTCGTGGTCAAGGTGCTCCAGCACCTGACGAAGGAGGGGAGGGTAACACTGGCGGGCCCAACCATCCGGTTGTGGATGGACGACGGTGTGTTCTGGGAAGACACGCCGGCGTTCGAGGTGGACCGGATCCTGGGAGAGGTAGCCGAACAATACCCCGAGGTCCGGTTCCTCCCATACATCGGCAGGGCCATGACAGTCACCCGACGTAGCGGTCGAAGCAAACGCCACGTCGTCGATGGGACGCTCCTTGAGAGTTATTTCAGTGACCGCCTCGGGGTTCACCTTAGCAATACAGGATATGATCGCATGATACAAGTGTCAGTGGGACGTGTATTCACGGTAACTATGCACGGGGTGGTGATGCAGGGTGGGAGCGAGCGCGTCCCAGAACGCCTAGCCGGTGGGGGAGACGGCGAGGGTTCCCGGGCCCGCCAGCCGGCCGCCGATGGATGGACCCCATCCGTCCCGAGAAAGTCGATTGGAGGCACGAATTTGATGAGCTGGACCGGAGGGTGGCGGAATACGTGGCGCCGCAGCCGATAGGCCACCCATCGCCGGCGCTGGAAGAGCCGTGCCGTCACGTCGCCGGCCCGGAAACTGGTGCGCTGTGGAATGGGCAGAATCCAGACCTGTCCGACGCCGGCCGCCAGGAGGCCGAGCGTCAGTTCTGTGACGTCTCGCAGCCACGGAGGGACCCGGCAGCTGGGTGAGGCGAGGTCATGGGCGCCCGCTATGACCACCACCACGTGGGAGCTGAGAGCAACTGCCGTCCGTATGGCCCAGCACCGAAAACTGTCCTGGGAGATGAAGCCACCGCAGACGCCAACTGCCGAGACATGATCGTCGGCCGACCGGTGCCGGGAGAGGTGGGCCGCAAGCTGTCCCCGATCACGAGCATTTCTGCAATGAGAAAAAGAAGAAGAAGAAGAAGAGAACAAAACAAGGGGCAGGAGCCTCGGATGCGCCCCGGATGAGACGTAGCGCGGTGTGTGCAGTTCACCTGGACGCATCGCCGGGAGAAGCACGCGTGTCCGCCCGCTAGCTGAAAAAAACGTCGGTGTCCGCCCGTCAGACCAAGCAGCTCCGTCCGGGCCGGTAAAACCTCACTCAACCGCTGACCGACATTACGCCACCGCGAGAAAACATGCACGACATCGGGTCAACCCGCTGCCCGATGATGCACCCCACAGGGCGCGTCGGGCCCTCAGGCCTGCCACTGCCGACCGACTGCACCGCTGGCAATAAGCATGCACGCTGGGTCAACTCGCGACCTGATGGGACACCTCTCAGTGCACGTCGGGCCCTCAGGCCTGCCACAGACGACCGATCACCGCTGGCGAGAAGCATGCACGCTCGCGACTGATAAAACACCCCTCGGGGCGCGTCGGGCCCTCAGGCCTGCCACTGCCGACCGACTGCACCGCTGGCAATAAGCATGCACGCTGGGTCAACTCGCGACCTGGTGGGACACCTCTCAGTGCACGTCGGGCCCTCAGGCCTGCCACAGACGACCGATCACCGCTGGCGAGAAGCATGCACGCTCGCGACTGATAAAACACCCCTCGGGGCGCGTCGGGCCCTCAGGCCTGCCACTGCCGACCGACTGCACCGCCGGCAATAAGCATGCACGCTGGGTCAACTCGCGACCTGGTGGGACACCTCTCAGTGCACGTCGGGCCCTCAGGCCTGCCACAGACGACCGATCACCGCTGGCGAGAAGCATGCACGCTCGCGACTGATATGACACCCCTCGGGGCGCGTCGGGCCCTCAGGCCTACCACTGACTGACCGACCGGTCACTGCCGGCAAGGAGCATGCGCGCTGGGTCAAAAGATTGACGATCGAAACCCACAGGGTGCACCAGGCCCCTCACAAATGAAAACGTTAGCCGCTGGCGACAATGTCCTGTCGTAGCTGCAAAAAAAAGGAAAAACAAAAACGCCGACTCGCCACCTGCGTTATATTGATACAGCGCCCAGGCGACTGCGCGGCGGCAGGCAGCAGAGGACGGACGTGCGCCGCTAGGGGGGCATGTGGCCCTCAAGCCAACCAATGACCGACCGGCCGCCGCTAGCGATAAACATGCAGTTGGGTTATAAGTCGCCGACCGGTGCGCCACCCCTCGGGGTACGGGGACCCAAGCCAACCAAAAACTGACCGGACGCCGCCGGCGAGAGAAAAAAGGCATGCGCCAGGGCCAGCCCGCTGATCGACTGGACAACCCAGCAGGGCGCGCCCGGCGCCCAGGCCGAGACAGCCGTGAGCTGAGCGGGCGGCGCACATGCGCCGCCGAGCGAGGGGGAGGAGTGAACAGAAGGTCAAAATGTACATAAAATCAAGAGTGAGCGGAGAGTTTGCGCTGGCCAATGTTGAAGTTGTAACGCGTCACGTGAGCTTTCCACAGCGAAGCCACCATCGATAGGTAACCAGGCTATCGGTCGTGTTAAAAAAAATACTGCTGTTAAACTTGGTGGAGGTCCTTTGAAGGAAATGGTTCACTTTAGGCATGGGGTGTTGAACTGGAAAGCAGTTTTGTAGCGAGCTGAGACTAGCACAAATCAGCTGCCTTTACGGCCCACCGATCACTCTAGACGAAGATATCCCATTTCCCGCTCCGAAAGGAGTGCCGTACAGAGGAATGCGCGCCTTGCCAAGGAATGCAGCCACGTCATCGTCAGCAAAGTCAGCATGCTGCTTGCAGCCAATGCAGCATGCGCAAGTATGAACTACGCAATATGATCGGTTAACGCGAAATAGCTACCGCGTCATTTCTTTATATTTTTTGATATATGGAATATGGTTCTTCCGAAATCAAAATATAAAAGATGATCATCAGTACAAAAAGGTGTGTTAATGTGTGTATTTGTTTTTTGTGTGTCCTATATGTGTGTTTTTTTTAACGTTTTGAGCAAAAAAAAAAATCCCTAGCAAATTTCAGCAGAGTGAACTAGGTATGTCCTTGAAGACCAGTAGATAGGCCAGCGGCAGAGGCTAGCAAAAAAAAAGCATGTAGCTGACAGTGATAATGCTCATGCATGTGAGTAGGTATCTAGTAGTGACTAATAATTTGCGCCGGGCGACGTGTTCTGGGGGACATGCACGCCTTCTGCCCAGAACCTGGAAATGGTACCGGCGCTGGAACCTAGCAGGCGGAAAAAAAGCAGCGACTGGGCGTAATGTTACTCTGAACCTATGACGCCCCGCCGCGCCGGCGGTCTCATCAGCGCCCTGCGACGAACCGGCCGCCGCCGACACGAGTCACTTTGTCCCGTCGGTGCCGCCGCCTGGCGGCACGTATCGGAACGACCATCCCCACGCCCCGCGTCGGGTAGGGGGAGGGGTAAGGGGACACGTCCCGGCGGAAAACAATGCGCCGCGACCCGGGCCACAAAGGATCAAACATGGCGGCTTATCAGTTCAAGTTAGAGCGCACGAGTAGATCGGGCCGCGGCGGTCGCGGACAGCGCCGCGGCCGGGAGCGAAACGCCGCACAATGCCACTGGGAGATAGAAAAAAACGTGACTTAACTGCCGAGAGCGTTGCGTCGTCCACTCGGCGTGTGGATGCCGACACGCCGCACCAATGTAGCGCCAACAGCGAGACGGCTGCCGGGCCGTACGTATAGGTGCTGAGTACCCTTCCCGACGTGAGAAAGAGTAAAGACTCGCCAGGAACCAGTAGGCGGCTCACCGCACTGCTGTTCCGCACCAGACGCAACAAACTATCTCCGAAAACAACACGGCACAAACTACGTCCTGGTGGCACGGTGCGCGTGCGCTGACTGCACTGGGGGCTCCTAGTGCTCACGCCGAGCGGTAGGTGTCGCTATACAGTTTTGCGCCCGCGGACAGAGAAAGGCTTTGCCGCTCACCACCGTTGGTGGCGCGCAGCAAATACATTTGTGCCGACAGCGTCTAGCCGCGGCGTCTAGCCAGACGCCAATGGAGCGCTGAAACCGCTGTCGCTGGCTGAGGATTGCGGGAAACGACAAGCATCTTCGGCCGACGCAATGCCCGGACCTGGAGACGCATCGCCCGTTCACGGACGCGGGCGCCTTCACAGTGATGTATCGCGGCAACAGGACCGGTTTCGGCCTGCCACACGGTGTAGTGTTTATTTCATGTATGTGTTTATTTTATTTTGGAAGTGTTTCTTTTTTTGTTGGGGGGAGGTGTGTGGGGGCGGGTATGACCCCGCCCCCCCCCTCGGCTCGAGTCCGCACGGCGGGCGGTGCGTGCGGTGTCCGCCGTGTCCGCCGGCGTCCCCTCGGCTCAGGTCTGCGCGGCGGACGGCGCATGCGCGGCGACCGGGCGGCGGTCAGCGCGCCGAGGTCGAGGCAGACGTGAGGGGACAGGCGGCGCGAGAGGTGCACGCTGTGTAAGACGAATAGGCGATAAGTGTGCATTGTGCAAGAATACATACGACAAGAAGACACTGTATCTGCACCTAACAGAGAGGTGTAATACATAATAGCCATTTTCACGACGGGCTATCCGGCGAGTTCACCTAATTTGACCAAATCTGCACCTAATCTCTTTTACAGCAACTATCTTTATTTTATGAATTCATTTCAGTGTTTTAATCGAAGACACTCTCTGATAATATGACAAAGCAGGCATAGTTATAAGCAATTAGTGCAACCCTAGCTGATAGCTACTAAGTGACACACTGAACCTAATTTAACCAAATCTGCACCTAATCTGCACCAGATGTGCACCAAATGTGTACCAGATGGCCGTCGTGAAAACGGCTATTAGCTTAAGTATTGTCCTTAAGCAACTTGCCCGTACGTGACATTGCCTTCAGCTAATGCCCATCCAGCACGACACTATCTTAGTGGCCTAGTGCACAGTAATTGATTAATTCGCTATGCCCGCACCATTTTCACTCGTCCCGCCGTCGTTACGAGGCCCATTTTCACTCACCGTGCTATCGGCGCAGGGTGTGTCCTGCAGGGAGCCGATGAAGGTCAGCTTGAGCTGCACGTTGTGGCCGACGGTGGCGGCCAGTCGGTGGGCGACTCGGTAGGGCAGGGTGCCGAGCAGCAGGGGCGGCTCGAGGGCACGGGCCCGCGGGGAGGCCGGCACTGACACCGGCACCAGCTCGTCCACGGCCGACACTGCCGGACGGCAGTGGCACGTAGTGATATAGAGTGACATACAGTAGCAAACAGAAACGAATAATGACAGAGACAGACACTATTAGACGCCGCAAACTCACCAAACATCAACTTACCAACTTATCGATTCTAAGAAGGCTCATTCGCTCCGCTCCATTGCCCGTCTATGCTCAGCTGTAACTGACCTACCCGCTAGCTCAAGGGGACCTGTGACTTACCTGCCCCGCTCGCTCAGGGGATCTGTAACTGACCTGCCCTGTAGTTCAGGGGAGCAGTGACTGACCTGCCCGGTAGCTCAGGCTGTACCCGGTGCCAATCTCCAGACTGCTGCCTGTGTTCAGCTGCAGGCGGACGTAAGGACCGGGCGCCAGCAGCAGAATCTGCGCTCGCCGTCGGCCGCAGAGCCGGCGGAGGGCTGTCGGAGTGTCCCCCGGCCGAGGCACAGAGCCCACCTCCAACCGGCCGTGCTCGCAGGAGAGGTCCAGTGAGGTCACCAGCAGCACTAGATGAGTGTCCCCTGTGGCCAGAGAATGCAGTCACAGGAAGTATTAATTCGGCCGAACTAGAGGCTTCGCGTTTTTGAAATTAACACATGAATGCACACATTCACAACGTTACTCACATGGGACACGTTCCCGCAGCATGCATAATTCCGGTGGCTTATTTTTATTCATACTAGCACCCATTCTACCAAGCCGAGCATACAGTTGCTCTCGTGGCATTTATTATTATTCAAATGCGCCATGGGCCGGTCGGTTGGCGTCCGTCAGAAACGTTATCGGACTGTCGCTCGAGGGACATCTAGAGGACGAGTTTCCTCGTGCCGCTTCCTTTAGTGATCCGCGCTAAGAACGCTGCCTTGCAGCGGAATCCAGAGGGAATTTAGGCGGCTTTGAGGCAGATCCTGGTGACGAGTCATCTGGGTGGTCCGCGAGGCGGTTGCGGGGCTCGTCGCTCTCGGCCATCCGTCAGACAGCCGTCGGCCGGGTGACAGACGACAGACGGGACCACATTTAACGGAGGTACCGCCGCTCCGACCCGGGCGGCGGCTCAGACTCCGGCGCCGGCGTGGGCGAACGAAATACCCGGCGCTCCATGTGGTCCAGGGACATGGCTTAATCAAATGTGCACGGGAAGTGACACGAAAGGCGCATAGAAGTTACAAGGGCGAACAAATATATATGATGTTGTTGAAAATAGTGACAATTTGTAACATGCTTAATGCTAATAAATTTTGATATGCTTTAAATATAGTACGTACCATAAGCACTTTCAATTAAAATAGAACTGATTCAGCCTGACGCAATTGCACACATTTGAGCCTCCGTGAAAGGACGATCCAACCATCCTACCTTTCTAGAGGACCCGTTACCCTCGTCGGAAGTCCATATTACTACCACTGAAATCGACCCACAGACCCCCGCAAACGGGACAGGTAGGAGCTCATTTGTGGTCTATCTCTGACGGCTAACACGCGGGCAAACATCAATGGCCACAGATGAGACGGCTGCAGCCACCTGGGCGAACAATTATCAGCGAAATGGAACGGCACACAGTCCCCGGTCCCATCGCTCTGATGAGTGAGAGATATAGGGAACGGGTCACGGGAACAGACGTGTTCAAACAGAGCCGCGACCGAAGCAATTAGCGAAGAGCGACACCTGACACGAGCTCTTCATCGAGTCCACAAGGGTACTTTGGGTCGGGCGCACTTCTCTCCGAGCACTTCTCCAAATGAGTGGCCTCTGGAGAGGTCTCAGAGCTCGTCTCAGGATAGTGATGCGGTAAATACGTCCCTCTCACCTGGTGCCAGGAGGAAGGTGATGCACTCCTGATCAGTAGGCAGCAGGTGCGGGTAGCCCGGGCTGCTAACAGTGCCCTCTATAGACGACACGATCTCGCCGGTGCACCTGCTGACATCTACCGACGACCAGGAGAGGCTGGCGCCCGGTCCCGACACGGACCAATCAGATGTGAAGGTGACGGTGGCTGTGTTCGATGGCGGGAAGATGAGCCGTCTGTAACGAACAGAACAGAGCACCGGCCTCAGGGAGTGGCCTCAATACTGTGCTTTTGGAGGTGAGGAGATACAGAAATGAAGTGGGTATTAACTGGCATAATAAAGCGATTTATAAGTCAGTAGCACACCAACAGGTTATTCACAGACAATAGCAGCATACCATGTAGGTTATCAACGCTTATAACATTCAACATAAAAAATAATAACCGTGCAATATATCCACATGATGATCACATCGTCAGCATTCCATGGGCATTAGGCACTATTCGTTCCTCCCATTCCCTTTCAGAGCCGCGTAGCCCGCTGACCTGGCAGGGTAGATTGTTCCGCAGTACGCGATCTGGCCAGGTAGACTGTGCCGCAGGGCACGTTAGCCTGCGGCGTTGCAGTCTCTATCAGCCTCGAAGTGTTTTCAGACAGGAGAGAATGCATTTGTCCGTGGGGAGCATGGCTGAATTAGACGTTAGAAAAGAAGATAAAAGAAAGATAAAAGAAAAAGAAAAGATAGATAAGTTCAAAGACAACATGAAGAACGATTCAAGTTATCTACTCGTATGATAAGGTGTTATTGTAGGTACATTGAAAGTAAACAATTTTTCAGGAAGGCCGATTATTTACAGCCAATACCTAATAGAGTTACGTCCATTTCATCATGGTGACGTCCTTTAGAGACGCTCTTTTCTATCAATGTTCGATTTTATTACGGAGCGAGCGAAGCGAGCGTAGTCTTTCCTTAGATTAACGGAAATTTCTGAGTATGAGCGGCCGGCCGGCCGGCCGGCCGGCCGTGGTCACGCTTTTGCGAGGCTTATATCTCAGCAACCACTTGACCGATTTACATGCGGTAAATTTTGTAGGGTAGCTTCATTCCTTCTACCAAGTATTGGACTATTCCCGATGCATGTGGGTGACCCCTTATGCACGTGCCACGTGCAAAACGAAGAGGTGTCAGTTTTGTAATTGTTGCAATATCTCGGTAACTACTTGGCCGATTGCGCTGAAAGTTGGCATGTAGGTAGGCACCCACTAGGCACTGCATATCCATGTGCCAGAGTTGGGGTGCTGCTGCACGTGCGCACGTGCAGGGGTCGTTTCCAGATCTCGAGAACGGCTCGACCGATTGCGCTCAAATTTGGTACACAGTTAGGGACCGGTTAGTAGGGTGCCGTGCACAAGTCAGTTGGGACCCATTTTGCACGTGCGCACGTGCAGGGTGCCGCTTTCAGATCTCGAGAACGGCTGGGCCGATTGTGCCCAAATTTGGCACGTCGCTAGAGACCGGTTAGTAGGGTGCCGTGCACAAGTCAGTTGGAGGTACCCCCTCGCAATTTCGCACGTGCAAGGCCCACCCTCTCGCTCGCTCCGTTAGTCGCCCCAAAAGGCGTTATACTGGTTTCACTGCTTAACTTTGTTTTCAAGCATCACACCGGCCACCAATGATACCTATAAAGTCAGCCTCTAATGATATAGATTGTAGTAAGAGTCACCGACTTGCTATAATCAACATGCAGCGATCGCCAATATCGTATGCAAAGTGTCATTCGGTTACTAGAGTTGGTGCAGTTGATGCTGTGGCCACAAACTAACCTAAAACAAATGTCACCAAATGTCACTAACACATTAAGTTGTGTTTTTACTAACAAATGTCACCAGTGGCCTTTATCACTTTATAAACTAAGTATGCAGAGCTGATACACTTCTAAGAGTGGTGACTGCAGCATTAACAAGCATCAAACCTAAAACCACTGCCCAAAACACAACTTCTTGCTTCCTTTCTTATTATACTTTTAACGAAACAATAAGGTAGACGACATTTCTCAGCAAGCGAGTGGTCAGAATTTATCGGGAAGGTTATTTCCCTCTATATCGCTCGCAGCAATCCCGTTGAAGTTATTACTCTCGACAGTTTGTTCAACTGATGAGAGTCAGCATAATACATAAATGCGCTCTAATGTTTGACTCCACATTGCTTCCAAAGCCAGCGGGATGGCCGGGCTGAGCCAGAACATACCGGCCCACTGTGCCGTTCTTGTCCGTCGTCAAGCACACCTGCGCGGTCTATACGTGTCTCTTCGGTGTCATTCATTCCTGAGAACCCATGGACGTGGACCCCCACCTCCCACTGCGGAGACCGTGCTCGTGGCGGCATGGACCACGTCTCCGCAATTGAGCTGAGCGGAGCCACGTGCACTGCCCTGCCGACCGACTGGGGGCCGTCCAATGAGTTATTCAGTCTCCCTGCGGTGGCGTACGTCAGCCGGAGGCGAAAACAGCCGGCCGCGCCGATGGATGGGTGACGGCAGTCGGGCGGCAGCTCTGCGCCGAGCGGCGGCCGGAGAGCGCGGTCGGTCCCCCCCCCCCCGCCGGCCGTCAGCCCCGGTCATTTCTCCGCGTCTGACACCACCGGCGCGCCTCACGCCGCCCCGTTTTCGTCACCGACCCACTCGAGTGTCAGCTGACGGAGATGGTCTTTTCAGTAGGTACCTGCTTCCAACAGAGAATAGCAAACAGCAGAGTTCATCGCGATATAGCCAGGGTTATACACCAAGATTGATAAAACATTTACAAAGAGAATATATTTCGGGACGAAGAAGGTCGGACGGACCATAGCGCCTGGTACCGGGGCGGACTATGAATTTAACAGGTACATGGATAACATCTTTGAAAATATTATGAAAAAAAGCATTTCCATATAAAATATTCACAAATACTGAAAACGGAGTGAAATAGCTTCGGCTGAAAAGATATAATAACATACGTGTCTGTATAATAAACACATGTCTCCACTTGCACTGTTTGTGTGCTTATTAACATGACCTTGGTCATCTGACTCGATTAATGTGTGTATGTATGTTTAAGCAGTTGGCATTCGTCGCCTTCGTCGCATATGCCTTGTTTTATAGCATGCTGAAACGACAAAGCCTAACAATCGACCAGGGCTGGCGAGCGCCACTTTATTTGGTCATAGGTCCACTTCGTACCGGTATTACAGCTCTAGCACGACGTAGATACAGTGCAATAAGCTTTGAACTCGCCACCAACTTCCCACGAGATGAGGAACAGAGCGAGCTTATTACAATGTCTAACATAACTCTGTTTGAGACCAGGTTCCAAGCGGCGAAGAAAATAACATGAACATAAAATTCAATTTAACAAAAGCCCTGCGACATAAAATAATGGAGATCTTGAGCTGATCTTGAGGCCATGTTACGCAACATGAAGCTGACAACAAATCAACTACTACATAAAGTGATGGTATAGTGGAACCTGTAAATACATACACAGTGGAACCAGTAACAAATATCACCAGTGGCCTTATCACTTTCTAAACTAAGTATGTAAGGCTGATACATTTCTAAAAGAGTGGTTACTGCAGCATTAACAAGCATCAAACCTAAAACCGTTGCTCAAAACACACTTAATTGCTTCCTTTCTTACCATACTTTTAGCGAAAAAATAAGGTAGACGACATTGCTCAGCAAGCGAGGGGTCAGAATTGATCGGGAAGGTAATTTCGTCCCTATATCGCTCGCAGCCTTGAAATCGCAGACTTGGAAATTTACATAACGGCTGCCTCCAATACGATGTAACTGGGTTTCCTTAAAATGTCAGCCCTCGTATTGTGGCAAACAATGATCAATAAAACAAGCTGCTATTCGTAGATCAACAGATGAACTGCCCATAAAGCGCAGAGAAACCACGTGCCAGGAAGTAAAATATTCGCAACGGAGCAGGCTTTTAAAGGTATATTGCCTGCCGTATCCTAACGAAAACACGTTTCCGGGAGATAAAATGAATCAAACAGCCGGTTCGTGTAAGCTCAGCGAGGATGATCATTTCTCTGACCAGTGAGTCATCAAACTAAAGCAACCAAACCATCCGGCGCTTTTCAGTGCACTCCACTGGCCCCCAGGAGCTTGCTCTTGGTTCTTATTGAGATTAGACTGCAAGTCATTCGAGACCAGGAAATATACATGGCGCCCATATTGAATAATCACCATATCGACAACTAACGCGCATGCAAACACACATCAACCCACCGACACCGTGGTGTGCGCACACAGGACCGGGTGAGGGGACCGGGAGGGGTGGGGAGGGGGCGATCGTCGGCGCGTGCTGTCGCGGCCTGTTACGGCCGTGGACGGTGGCCGGTGGCGGGCATCGTCATTTATCACCCCCACCCTCCCACACAAAGGTCGTTAACCAGCCGTGCGCTGTGTTATACCTGCGATAGCGCCAGGAAACGACCGGTTGCCGTAATAAGTGTTAGGGGCATAATGTTCTGACTGCATAGAATGGCCGAGAGCTTACTAACTCTCACTGCTCATCGTTGGAACACAGTTAGACACATATTTTATGAAACATTAGTTTATTTAAAAAATAGCTTCTTAGCTACGATGTACCTATTGACAGTAGTGTTTCAAACCTTCATTCACACACTGTATGTATAAAGCTAAAAGTCGACGAAGCAATGATATGCTTCCTCATAGGAACAGATCGGTGCACTGATTGGACAAATTTTACACTTGAATAGTCACTAAGTTATTTTCTAATTATGTTCAAAAAGAAACATCAGCCACATATTTTATCTACATCATTTTGCAGCTCGTTCTTGATATCAGCCGATGTTGCACTTGCATTTCGCATTCAACATCATCATTTGTGTTGATCAACCATTCACTTTTTCCATTCACCGAAAAACGGCAACGCGACAGCCGTCATCACTCAGATGATTACAGAAACAGAAGGTACGAAGCTAATGGGGCGATGGGGAAGGCAACGGGAGCTTAGGTTCGCCTTACATCATTATCGTATACGGTCCCAGCTGCGTATCCTGGTAATCAGCCCGGCGTACCAGCCGTATCAACGCCGCCATTTGGCCTGGATTACCGGGGGACGGGTGGTAGTCGTAATGCACCCAGCGGCTGATGGCCGAGCCGCGCCGTCTTTCAGGGCGTAAAAGTGAGAGTCGTTAGTCAAGAGAGGCTGTGTAGCGTGTAGATACTTTTTGGGTTGTATTGTATCATAGACCTCTACATACCTCTACATACGTAGAGGTCTATGATTATATTGATCAAATGATTACCTGCAGCAAGTTTCACTTCTTATATACCACCTCCAAAAATACCATCTTTTTGCGAATACTTTGCTTTTTAGAGTGAAAAAGCTTGTGGACTTAGACCCAAGAAGGATTACGAAGTTGAAAGATCCCGTACCTGAGAGAAACTTTGTCAATTATAGCACAAGTCTAACTCACATTCTCAATCATTAAAACTTCCAACACTCTCTGAGCAGAAACGTGCTTTCACCAACAACTCTGTTCGTATCTTAGAATTGCAGAATAAGCAAAACAAAAGCATTCGAACAATTTGCTGGTAAGTGATATGATCAAAATTAGGTACTCGCCCCATTTCAACACCAGTGAGCCTGGTGATTGAAACAAGTATGAGCAATGGGCGTTAGCATCGCAAGACCTTTGACAGTTTGGTGGGCTTGGTTCCGCATATACATATGTTGCTAGGTGGGGGACATTAAGAATCATCTCCTTCAATGCCCTTGTTATGCCATTGAGCTGCTGCGATATATTTGGAAACCGGATTTGCTTTCTGAGAACCGCAAATTTACAATCATGTGCCCCAGAGACTTTAATACTATTGAAGCCATTCTCAGAATCAGCCCCTTCGGTTCCACGACTTCTGGAATCGATTTAAACTGCCGGATAGCAGCCGCGACTGCGGAGTAACCGCCGCTGTCTCTGAGCTGGTCAGTTCCAGACCGTACAGGCCGAGACCCGACCCCCTCCGAGTGCCGTCGATCAGTCTCACTCACCTCTCATGGTGCCGACCACACAGCGTCGCCCGGCCGTCGGGCGGCCAGCTGATCTGCAGTGAGTCGTACAGACAGTCCGGCTGCACCTCCAGCTGCAGTCGTTCCACGCGCACTGCCAGCCGGCTGCCGGCAGGGGCTCGCAGCTCCGTACGCAGATCTAGCAGCGGAGGGTAGCCGGCGGGGTAGCCGGGTGAACGCAGCCGACCCGGCGAGGGCAACTCGGCCGGCCACCGCCACGGGTCACCTAGGGAGGGACGGAGGGTCAGAGGTCACCTGGGAAGACACGGAGGGTCAGAGGTCACCTGGGGAAAGACTGAGGGACAAGGGTCACCTGGGGAGATGTGAAGGGCCAGGGGTCAATTGTCCCTGTCCTTCAATGGAAGGACAGGGACAGAAGTTATCTGGAGAAGGACGGATGGTCAGAGGTCACCTGGGGCTGTACAGAGGGTCAGCTGTCAGGAGTGAGCCAGAATGTCAGAGGTTGTTTGATTTGTTCAGAAGGCACTCAGGAAGAGTCAGAGGTCATCTACCAAGGAATAAAAGTAAATGTCACGGGAGGAAGTTTCAGAGTCACATGACAAAATTTGTTACCTGAATTTCTTATCGCTTAGAAAAGGAACAAAATAAAAAGCAAAAAGACATTATAAATAAATACGAGCCACAAAAAAACGATGCTTCTGCTACGAATGCAGCATATACAGAGCATAAATCAACTTAAAATCACCATCACATTTCTGACAGGAAATCCTCATACACAACACAAAACCTTTTCCGTCACACGAACTGACGCCTGGCATGCTTTGCATGCTTTGAGCCGCGTGTCAAGTCCAATGCCTGCAGCCGGCACCCATAAACGGAGCACTAGACTCTCGGGGAGTGCCGACCGTTGTCGAACCCAACCCAATTACACTGTTTGTGCATCGGTGCCACTGTGCCGACAGCGTCAGGGGAGTGTGCGCTGTTGCTTCGAAATGCAAGGTGTTTGGATGTCGCACAAGTGGATTACGGATCCTGTGTGATCGAAAAAAGCGGGATTTCCCAAAGGTACAGGGTGTTTCACAATAAACGTTACTTTTGATAAGCTTTTAAAATGACCTCAGCTATTCGTATGCCCATAAATTCCATATTCATTTTGTTGCAAATTCTTTCGGGTTTTTTATCCTTACAAAAACTATGACGAATCATCAACTGCATTCTTTATGTACGTGCAATGTCCACACCATCAAAACAGGTCAATTCGCTGTTAAGCTTCAGGGTCCTTCACAATGAATGTTGCTTTTCAAACGACGATGTTTCAGTGACATGTATTACAATATGGCTCATGAGTATTACCTCATGAGACAGCAGAACAGTAGGACTGATGAACATATAACTTTCAGTTCAGCACCCTTCACGAGTTCTCCACTATGCCACCCTTCCGTCTGACTTTTTCAACCAGATTCTCTGGGATCGCCGTCCGGCCAGGAGTCGGGGCTGGTCTCGTGTTTCCAGTCTTCTGGAACCTTTCTACTACCCGTTTGAAAGACATTTTTGACGGAATATCCTTCCTCCTTTTTAAATGGCTACCGAAACTCCGTCGCACTGCGGTCAGACTCCGCAAAGCGCCGTAATGCATGACCACCCATACCGCCTCATCATCTGTACACGGCGAATTGACCCGTTTTGACGGTGTTGGCATTGCACGTCCATACTGATGGAACCGTTGACGGTTTGTAAAAAAAAAAAAAAATGTAAGGACTAAAAACCGCTACAAATTTGCAGCAAAATGCATATAAAATTTACGCGCTTACGAACAAGTAAGATCTTCATTTAAGCTATCCAAAAGTAACATTTATTGTGAAACACCCTGTATAAGGAAATGCGCGATGTTCCGTACGTTTTAACAAAAAAAAAAAATGATGTGCCGCGTTGCTATCTTTAGTATTGCATATTTTGAGGGAAAAATGCTAAGCGAAAAATATAAAGCATTCCTACTTGTGAAAAACGTGGCGTCATATTTTTCGCTAACAAACACGCTGCTATCCGGGCATCGTTCGTCATTCACTTGCCTCCTTCCTGTCGTCCAATTCCTGGCCACTGACCGGCCTCTGACCCTCCCCTCCCCCACCCAAAGAGGAGTCTCCGTGTGGAGAGGGGAGGCCAGTGTCGCGCCTCAGCGGACGTCTCTGGCCTCTGGGGCGCAACGACGAGCCTTCGGATCCAATGGGATCGGACCAGGCACGACCGGTCCGCCGGCTGGTCGGCGCGGCCCGCGCAGTGGCCCGGCAGGCCCTATCGGGATTATACTTCCAATACGACCCCACCATCGACCGAGCCGACTCCGTTTTGGCCCGGTCCGCTGCACAGGTGGTCATCGGCGGTCAAGGAACGTGGCGGCGCAGATAGTGGAAAGTTTCAGATGATAGGAGCCTCGCGCGGGCGCGGCCCTTCATTGAGATGGTTATCAGAAAGCAAAGGACGGAAATGAGATGGGCTTTCTTGGCTTGTGGAGAGCTGAGGTGCCAGTTGCGTACAGTATAGTGGTTTGCTTTTCTAATTTTCAATGGATATAGTGAGGGCACCATTTATAAAATATTACAAATGAAAATTGGCAAATTGCAGACTTATAAAAAAGGAATGAAACCTGCGTTCGTTCTTACGGGCTCTGTAATAAGCTGACACTTCAATAACGGGCGACGCGGATATCAGTGTGAATGTTTGTTAAACTACATATTTGTAGAGCGTAAGCCAGAGCAGCCTGTAGGAGGCTAAAGGTAAAGACAGCCTGTAGGCGCAGCCTTATTCAATTACCAGGCTGGCTGTCACTAAAACCATACACACCCCATCGGTCAGAGCGTAGGCGACAGTGAGGGGTCACACAACTTCCTGGGAGGAACCTAGCCGCATTCCAGAGCTTACGAACAGGTCGGTACGTACCGGGTAGAAGGCGGCAGACGGCGGTGGATGACCGCTGACAGTCTGTGGTCTGACGAACGACCGGAGGGGAACCTCGCACCTCCACGGCGACGCATTCTGCACCGCCACTGTCGGTGTCGGTGTTAGGCATTAAGCTGATGTCCTCACTGCCGTAAAAGCTGCCGTCGTCCTCAGCAGGGCCTCTGGTGCTGATATGGACGTCTGGATTGGTGGTGATGGTGGTGCCGTTGGTGCTACTGGTGGCTCTGGTGATGCTCTCAGTGACGAAGGAGGGTGGTTGAGCCCAGTAGGAGCCGCTCCCCAGCACCTCGGAGAGCTGCTCCAGCTCGCCGACGTTGGCCGGCACGCCCTGACCGAGAGGTCAGTAAGTACGCCGGGAAACGCCAGCACCTCTAAGCAGTATAAATGTGTTTACAATGCGGCGACAGCGCCAAAAGCGTCGCTAGTTACACACCACAACACTCCTGCAGTGTCCAGTGCGGTTGAGTTTAATAGTAATGATCAAAGAACCTAGCCCGACAGTATCATCAACTTATTACTTTTTGCACGCTGCATTTGAATTTGACATGCAAACTGAGACGTTATTTCATAACAGGAACAATACATTCAGCAACGAAATTGATCCACGGTAAATCCGTTGCGACAATCTGCACCACGACTCACCTTTTGCCTTCCGCACGTGTCGCGGACACCGCTGTAGGGCACGGTGGGGCTGCGGACGACCGTGAAACAGGTGCCGTCTGACGTGCAGTGCCGCTCCTCTGGAACACAGGTACAGGCGCTGTTAACTGAGGTGTGGATGTGTCACAGACGAGGTCAGTTAGTCGAGCCATCGACCGGGAACGGGCGGTAACGGATATTGATGGACCAGTTATCGGCGTTAATGGGGTTTTAAACGGTATTTGTGCCACTTTAACGAATCAAAATCGATTCGAAAATTAGATTTGTGGTAGAGTTTCAGTCTTCAAACAGATTCCGTGGCGACATGGTATTTGTGCAGGTTTTGGATGATAACAATCCAAAGCCGAGGAGAGAGAGAGAGAGAGAGAGAGAGAGAGAGAGAGAGAGAGAGAGAGAGAGAGAGAGAGAGAGAGAGAGAGAGAGAGAGAGAGAGAGAGAGAGAGAGAGAGAGAGAGAGAGAGAGAGAGAGAGAGAGAGAGAGAGAGAGAGAGAGAGAGAGAGAGAGAGAGAGAGAGAGAGAGAGAGAGAGAGAGAGAGAGAGAGAGAGAGAGAGAGAGAGAGAAGAGAGAGAGAGATATGGAGAGAAAGCTAGGAAAGAGGAAAGATATATCATTTGAATAAATCAGCATTGCAAATCTTATCGTATTCACCTTTCATCTCGACGGTGCCAAATAGAAATTTAACGCAAGTGAACAAATTTTACTGTTTAGCTTTAGACACGGTGCATAAACATAAAACAGCCCGCAGCCGAACACAGCTGGACTCTGTATGGGGATGTGAATATGGAACCACTGCATGTTCTGCCTGCCCAATGCCCATAACCTTAGTCTGCCTATGAACGTCAGTCGATATCGTGGCCTGCCTGCCCAATAGGAATAGCCTGCCTGGCTGGGTCTGGCCAGGCCGGCCATTCCTAACGTGTACATAGTCTGTCCGAGCGGCAGTAGCGGCAGTGCAGGAGGCGGGCGTTCCTGATTGTTCCATTGGTTGGTAGTGGAGGCCCGTCCTGGTCCGCCGGCCGTGCGGTGGCCAGTCCCAAAGGTCAGCGAGCCGGTCGATCGACGACTGAGGTGCCGACAAAGGACCTCTCGTGGGCACGACGAACGACGCAGACGACGAGACAGGTATGTATGTTATTATGCGGACCCCTGGCCAGCCTTCTCCACTATAGCAGCAGGTAGATGCATGTTTGTATTTATTGCATGCATGCCCAGCGGCAGCCTAACATGCTCCCCAGTACAGGATTACGCTCGTAGCCAGGCCAAGGGCCGTAAAACCCGATATACTGACGGCCATTACCATTGAAAACCTATAAAAACGGGGCTGAACAGACTTTTTGTATTAGTCTGGCGTGGTGACAGGCTGGCAAAACGAATACGGCATCCGCTTTGGTTGAATGAGGTTTGCATGGCAGTACTGGAAACTGTTAAAGAGAGAAAGCCAAGACGGTTAAATATAGCCAAGAAGCCAAGAAGCCAAGAAATAAGCCAAGAAGCCAAGACGGTTAAATGAGGTGTTTTGTCGCGAACCAATCCCGTTTTTGCCACTCCAGACTTTCTAGTTACATATGCCGTACCGGTTAAATGAGGTGTTTTGTCGCGAACCAATCCCGTTTTATGATAACATAACCGCGGCAATGAAATAAACTTGAACTCGCACCGTAGCTGCGTTTATTTGGTGCGAAGATATGCCACATATCTACTACATATTTGTAACGCTTATGAATGTAAATGCAACCATGTAAACCGGTCACTGATGTGTTGTACTAACCCTCGCCCGTAAACGGCGATCTGCCACCTTCGCCCATGCAGGGGGGGGGTTGGTGCGACCCCCCCCCCCTTGGCGTTTGAAAACGGAGCGTCGTAGAGCTTAGCGGAAAAGACCAACGGATTGCTCTCAACGAGATCTCGCGATTGGTGGTATATTTTTTGGTCCTAGGTCAACATTTGACCTACTTTTGACCGGTCAAAGGTCAAATTTTTCGGAAAAATAGACTTTTTCAACTTTCCGCGGCGATTGCGGCAAAACGGTGGGAGATATCGACTTGAAACCTTCACTATCGTGTTCCATGATCAATTCTCTATCGTTTGGTATGTATTTCATTTCCCTAGCTCTAAAAATAGCGCGTTGGGAGCGCCGGAAGTCGGCAAGGTCACAGTCGGCGGCAGAAATTCGAAAAATCAAAATTTAAATTTTTGAAATCTGATTGTATTTTTGGATTTGGGAGGTCCATTTGCTCCCTATAGAAGCTAATATTGCTGCATATTCCCATCGAGGTGACAAGAATTAGCAAAATAGTGGTTCGGGCGCTTTTCAAAAATAGTACCGGACGCTGTTCCTCTTGTGACGTCATAGCTCCGTGACCTGACCTGACCCGGTCAAGTTTCTTATACCATATGATAGCCAATACTTGCCCCAACATGCATGGGAAGTTTCATCACGATCCATCAACCGATGTCCGTACCACCGGCAGGAAACCTCGGGCGTTGGCACTCAGTTTGTGAAAATCCGGCCGGAGGCTGTTCCCTTTGTGACGTCATAACTCCGTGACCTGACATGACCCGGTCAAATTTTTTTATCAAAAGATGCGCAAGGCTTGCCCCATAAGGTACCCAAAATTTGGCGGCGCTGCGCGCCGCCGTTTTTGCACTATTTCCGAAAAACCTCAGGGGGGGGGTTGCACCAACCCCCCCCCCCCCCTACATGGGCGAGGGCTAAACAATAGTTTTCTTCCATCCGTAAATACGGCTGGCAAGTTTCTATATTTCGAAATTGTGCGGCTCTTTTGCGGTATTGTTCGAGTGGTATGTGTCGACACCGAAGGTATACGGCTTGACTGCGCACCCTAAACACCTATGCGCTGTAGCTAATTATAAAAGAAAAATATACCGTAAAAAAAGAAATTCATCGCTCTTCACATACCGACATTCACTATGGAGCAATGCAATGCATTTACTTTTAAAGCAACTGATTTAACCACAGAGCTGAAATTTGAATCGGGACTTATAGAAACATGTTATGCAGCCAAAATATGTCAATGGGAGCTGTTCTGTTGTTCACTGACTGCTGAGGCACTTCTGTTCTTTCCGTGTATTTTCATGAACAAATCAGCACATAAATATAAAAGCATGGGCATTATGTCATTGGCCCGGTTTCCATGGGCAAATGTGATCTGGATCAGTAAAAGTGGATTAGGTAATCCAGTATCATAGGTACTTGGACGATATACGAAATTGAAAATAAGAGATTAAAGTGATTATATAAAGCTAATCCACTATAACGTATCGCTTGTAACGAAGAGTTTGATACAACTTATACGATTTAAATTTGGTAATCCGGATCACGAGTGCCCGTGGAAACATGGTCAATATCGTCTCGGCCGCAACAGCAGGCTATACCCCGCGGCACGTCATTGCGACCTGGTGTAGCGCCGCAGCTGACACCGGAGGGATTCGGCGGCTCTGTCGTCCCGACCCCTGGTCATCGGACACCGGCCGTGTCCGCAGGCGGGACGCCGCGACTAATTTCATTATTTCCGTCCCCTGACACGGTCCGACTCCTGTTCGCCAAATCGACCTGCCAGACCGGGACTAAGTGGCGGTGCTAATTTGCTCGGGCCGAATGGCGGATCCCCTGATCTTCCCTTGAGAACCTCAGTCATCAGAAACATGCCGCGGGTAATTTTTATGTGTCGTTGTCATAGTTATTTTACAGTATCAGTTAACCAGTGTATTACAAGTGACACCCGCCTATACAAGTTTCATGACAATGTAACTCAACTACTGAAGTTAAGTGGGAATCGCAGGCTTCACTAACGTTATGCATGCCGCTAAAACAGTTACGTTAATTCGTGATGCAATTAAATCATTGCAAATTGTCCGTAAACAGTTACTGATATATCCAGAAATCGAAAAAAAGTAGGAAAAACAACCAATATTTGCTTAATGTTTAAGTTTTTTTCGGCCTAATTCAAGCCAACGCGCAACCATTCAAAACTGTTCTTTTCAATGGAGTAAAATCAGCACTCAGCGAAATGTTAAAATTCGAAACCTCGATTAGGAGACAACTGCTCAGTGCCCGTTCTTCCCCACTTCACTATTTTTTTTTTTTTCTCGGTTGAACGGTTTATTTTCGTGCCACACCGCAACATACATTGTTCCTCTCCAATGCGCAACAACACAACAAAGACGCCAAACACAGAACACTGACCCGTATCCTTCCATATTGGCGCTCTGACCTACCCAATGGACGACACAGGCGAACACTATATAAACAAGAAAACAAAACAAAAAGCGAGCATTTGGTATGAAGTTTTTTTCACTGTTGCACCAAAATCAATAGGTAGGTATTGTTTGGAGGTTGAGCTGCAAAACAGTTTACAATAATATTGAAACATATTGAAACAGGGCACCCGCTCGCACACAGCGCACGCCCGCCCCAGCCACCAGCGCCTACACCGGCGCCCGCGCGCGCCAAGAAGAGCGCGCGGCCGCGCCCGCGCATGCACAAATGCTGTATGATTGGGTGCAGTATGTTTGAGTTTGTGAGCGTGCGCGTGTGTGTCTTGCATATACATTATTCATACACTTATAAGACAGTTAAACTGTACCACAATGCATGTTCACGAGCCAATGCATGGTTAAAATGAATAAAAAGTATCTAAAGCCCGCCTGGCCAGGACGGGACGGTGTCTTAACCCATATGACAACCGTCCCGGCCCCGGGGAGGTCTAGAAGATGCCTCCCCGACCGGGGAGGGCTAGGGGATACCGCCCCGGTGTACCTCCAGGCGGGCCGGCCAGCCCCCACCCGCACCGCCCGGCGACCGACTCATCCCGTCGGGCGGTGCTCCCTAGCCACCGACCGGGAGTGCGAGACGTCATCCAGACCGGCTGGCGTCTCGCACGCCCGGCCAGCCGACCGACCCACAGGGGCCGGTCCCGGGTTGGCCCGGATGGGTCATAGGGGTGGGGGCCTCGGTAAAAACGACGCGAATTAAAAAAGAAAAGAAAAAAGTGTGGACGTGTGTGTGTGTGGGGTGTGTGTGGGGGTGTGTGTGGGTGTGTGTGGGTGTGTGTGTG